TCTTCCGATCTCCCCAAAACCCCAAAACCCCTCAATGTGAAAATATAGATATATTGTAAATGCAAAATAGTTAAATAAATCAATTAAGACATAAATCTAAGCAAGGGAAAGGAGTTGTGTAAATTCGTTTCATGCGACTTAATTACCTTAAACAACACTCTAAGCTAATATGTACTTGTTAAGGTCTTGAATTTTATAGTAATCATAGTCAGGTGGGGAACCTATGCTTAGTCTTTTGTAAATTGGGTCTTCTTTTTAGTTTGTAAAATGTTTGCTATAGTAGTTTCTATTTTTTATTTTGGCCAAGTTTTCTTCAAAAGATTAATTAGGGTCTTTGAACTGAGACTAAGTTAACTACTCCTATCCAATTCCATCGTCCATGAAACTTCTTTGATGAGCTGCTCCTTTATTCTGTAAAATATTAATTATAGTATTGAATAACTTACCACTAGAATTTCATTGAAATTCATTTTGTACTTTTAATAATGCTTTTTCAGTACTTGATTTTATACAAATTGAGGTTTGCTTAGTAATTTATGTTATTTTTCTCCTGCACTCAAAATATCTGAATTATCAACTTGCCCATTAAAATTAGGTTATGCTAAGCCAGAATCATTTAGAGCTCTTTTATTAACCTAACTATAAAAGGTTTTATTCATTGTTGGTTTTCGTGATTATTTGGCAGTGGTTTTTATTTCTCGCTTTGAACCATGAATAACTTCCCCATCATCACCCTGCGCATTGTTTTCTTCATTATGCTCAAATTAAGATTTAATCTTTTAGTTTTACTTATCAAATGAGTATATTGAAGTTCTCTTAACACTTTGCGACATGATATCTTTTCTTTTTATATCCATCTAATTCACTTAATCTTTTTCTTATTTATAGTTATTCATTTGCAAACTCTTTCGAAATTTTTCAAAATCAATTTAAGGTGCATCACTTGGACTCATCAAACCATATCTGTTCATCTAAGTTATAAGCTCTACTGGCTTATGGTTCATTTGAGAAGATGACATCTCAGACATCCTAAACTAAGTTGTATTGGCTGTTTTTGTCCTTTACGAAGCTTTTGAAGTTGGATACTATGTGATTAAGCCATGCATTGGAGTGTGATTGCTAGTACCTCTGAAGTAACTGCCTCTCGTAGAAGGCAATTCAAGATCTTTATTTTACTTAAAGATATAATCTTTTTCTCTATGAGAATCTTAACTTTAATTAGCTTTTTAAGTATTCTTTTGCAAGAACCTTTGATATGTCTCTTATTGATATTTTTTCTGTAACTTTTATGATTAGATTACAACCTCTTCAAGGTGATCTCTAGATTACTAAGAACTTTATTTAAGAAATGATAGTTGCTTCTTAAACCTTTCTTGCCTCGTTGTATCAATAGCGAATAGATGAGTTTGATCTTTAAAGAATTTCATTGTTCTATTAGTCTATCTTAGATTTATTCTTCTATCATGTACTGATTAAGCTTATTCATGTTTGGTCCTAACTTCTGAAAGGGCTTAGTGAATCTGCTATGATAGCAGATTACCTTAGGTTGAGTTCAAGCAGTTTTCCAGTGCGATTTCAAAGTTGTCAATTGCATTATTATAGTTCTTCATATGCTCATGCTCAACCCCTAGATTGTAATAAGCAATACTCAAAAATTGAAGCATATGTGCTACAGTCAATTCAGTCTATCCATTTGTGAATGAGACACCATTTTTTATCTAATGTAAAACATTTCTATAGTCATCAATTGCACTTTCAACGTACTTAATAGCTTTACTATGCCTATAAGATATATTATTAGATCACTCTAATTTTTATACTTCTTCATTAATGAAAAGATAGCACAAATATTTAACTTTGTTGTTGCAATATTTTACAAAGGCTGTTTGGTTTCGACTTCATTTTTAAGAGCAAGCTTCATGTATCTAAGAGCAACATTTGGTTTCTATATTCTAAGTATTTAATGATAAAACTCTTAAAGCTTACTTTTTATAATAACACCCTAGATTATTCATTGTAAGTGCATAAAACTTATTTCTTTATTCTGGATTCATAGCCTAGAGTGTCTCATTCTACTCATTTTTTAGAAGCTACTCAGCTTACTTTAGAAGTGCTTTATAATCTTAGAAGTTCTCAGTTCTTATCTCAGCCATTTGAGCCTTCTAATTTGGTTGCTAATTCTACTGATTTTGTTGAGTGTCTACATTTTTCTGGACTGAGCTTCTGTGAGAAACCTCTGCACTTGCATTAAGATGACCAGTTTGTTGAACTTTCATAACTTATTTATATAATTCCCTGAATTAAAAAACTTTTTTATATAATTTTTTACTTATTAATTATCTGATTAAATGAATTATATTTAATAGACAAGGGGTTTTGGGGTTTTGGGGTTTTGGGGTTTTGGGG